ATAAAGTGATTATTCTAAAAAGAGCTATTTGATGCATAAATAATTGCTTGCAATGTGTCCTGTGTCTGTTTGCTAGGAGGAAAAAATTGCGTTCACATTTAACTAGCTGTTACAGCCTTTCAATTCTTTAGCACAATTTTACGTATCGCTCTCAACTGGAAATTAAAGGTGTGAAATATATATATTTTTTACTGTCAGCTTATGGCCTAATATTTTTGATAGACGTTACTGTTCAGTGTTTTGATTTCAATAGACTTGCAGTGTGATTCAAGAAAATACACTGAATTATGTTTATTTGAAGAAATGAGTGTTTGAAAGGAATGTCTTTTGAAAGATTTGTTTTGTGCAAACACATTGCCTATTTTTATCTCATTAATTTCTATTTTGAGTTGTTACTCATACTTTGCAATCATTTGCATTGATCAGCATTATTTGCTTTGGGAAACCAATGTTCCAATGTCATGTTTCTAGTGTGGAAAGTTTGACAGGAGATGTGGTTGTGTGTGTTTTTCTTCCATACAAATCTCCAAAGTGTACCCCCTACAAGAATTTTACTGATATATTTATAGCAGCTCCTATTAAAAAAAATTGTGCTTGTTGATTCTCTATGTTTGTTTACAAGTCTATAGAACATGAAGGAATATTATTATTGGGTGGGATATGTGCTTGTGTACTAATTTTAAAAGAATCTATGTCTTAAAATACTAGTTTCCCTTTCTTGTTTGTGAACGAATAATAAGATGCTTTTAATTTTTTTATCTTTAGGTTCTGCCCCTCCAGAATTCTTCTTGAGCCTTGGGGATGAGCAGGACATGCAGCAACTCGTAGCTGCATATCAAAAACAGAATATCAGTGAACTGGCCTCTTTCAGAGGAAATTTGACTGAACCTGGCTGCCCTGAAGGAAAAGTTGAACAAAATCTTTCTAAAGAATTAATTTCTTTATCAAGAAAATTTGAGAAATTTTCTTTAAAATTGAAGCAAATTCCACAACAATCATTAGCAGCAAGAAACCTTCATGTTGGTCTGCAGCTTGTTAAAGAATACCTGTCTGCTGCTAATGAAAATATAAAATTTGACAAAAATATTAATTCATGTGATATATATGGATATTCAGGTCCTTTGCAAAATTCTGAACCTTACGATGAATGGTTTAGTCCAGTTGGTATAAAAGAACAGTGTGCATTTGAATCTGAGATAACGTTGAAAACCATCCCTGATTCATATGATTCTCCGACCCAAAAGAATGCAAGTTCTCAAACCAACATAAGCGGTGAAGTGATTCCTCGAGAGGCATCAGCTGCCTTGGAATTTTTTCAAGAATTAATTAAGAAGGGTTAATATTAGGTTTTGTTATGGCATTTTAATAATGGGTTGTTAAAAGTGAATAAGATAATGCTAGTATTCCAGATGTGCTTCCACTGTGAAAAAAATGTTTGTGTGTACATCAAACACAACATATATGAATTTGCATTTAGCAAAATGTATTATGTTAAGGCATAAGTTGTTACAATGAATTCTGGTAACAATGCGTTTGGATGTTCTTCAGATATGAATATACCTAAATAGAAGTAAAATACAATTCCGGTATGCAGATCATTTCTCAATGAAAAGTAATTTTTATTTGCTAATCTTTCTTACTTACCTTAATACAATTTAAATGTTCAAAAAGTGCAATTGGACATATGAAATGCAGTTGGTTAATGTATATATGTATAGGCGTGACTAGCTAATGCAACAAATTAATTGAAAATGAGTGATTGGTCATAAAAGTTAATTTTATATGCCTGTCCATTGTGTGTCTGCAGAAACTGTTGATTACGATATAAACTGTAAACAGTATTTAAGAAAAAAAATTAACATGTGTAATTAGAAATAAAAATATTTTTCTGGGATTTTGAATGAACATTGTTTCATCAATCAATACACCATTTCAACTTGCTAATAAATAAAAACAGTTGTCATTCATTTTAGGAACTGTAACACTATCAAACAACACTTATTGACATCATTTAAGGTGTATGTACAGTTAGCACATTTGAAATTTTGGTATGTCAATGAAACGGGTTTGATATCTAAATTTTTGTGTGCCTCTTCAGCACTTTTTTTTCTTTAATACAAAATAATTGTTTGGACAAAGGAAAAGGAAAAACAAGAAAAAGAAGCTGCTTTTATCACAATTTAGTAATCATTATTTGCAGTTTTTCTCAAAAAACAAAACAAAACAAAACAAACACACACTCACACTCTCACCTGATGTAGCTAAACCATTCTCTCTAATTTAAGTTTCATTGACTCATACAATATTTCCTGAAATTAGAAACAAATCAATATATTAATTTATATTTTAATGCATAATTTATATTTGAAACCATAATAATACAGTAAGAATATCCTTGTGTCATGTTTGCAATCAAATTGAAGTGAAACAACTTGTAAACAATGCACAGTGGAAAAGTGAAGAGTTTCCCAGTTTCCATGAAATTCAGGTTTGAAGATTTTGTACCATTTGGAAGAATGAACAATGGGTCCCTTTGTTCCTGTGGAAAAATGATTCAAGTCCACTTCGATAATATCTTTTTAGTAATTCATTGAGTGATTGTTGCTTGGTATTTTGATTTTTTTTATTGTTTTTAATCTCAGCGTGTATGTTAGTTAAGCTTTAACTTTGTGCTAAAACAGGGTTAATGAAGAGAAGAATATTTTAAAATCTCCAGCAGTTAGGTGAAAATTTTAGTTCTAAACCGAACTTTTAGTTCGAACAAATTCTAAGAAAAGAAACATAATGGAAAGTTTGGAGGCTACGAAGCAAATTTGAGCCACATCATCAAAGATAACTGGCTGTAAGTGTTTACACTTATTTGAAAATGACATCACATGGGAAAGGAATGAGAACTTCTTAGGCCAATCAAATTTCACATTATCAGGATTGACTACTATAAAACTTATAATATGCAGGAGACCAAGAAAAGATTCTGATGAACTATATCACAATTTTTCTTACAATTTCAAAATTAGTGGTGAGGAATGAAAAGTGTTCAAATGCTTGTATGCCACAAACCATATTTATCTATCCATGGCATAACTAATTGTCGTCCTATAACTGGAAAGATCCGTATATACTAAAGTAAAATCTCATAAAACCAGATGTAACCTCATTAAAAGGTCTCGTACATTGAATTGAATGCTCCCCAACTCAAGGCCGAGAGTTTATCGTTTTTCTTCCATTATTTAGCAAAACGGATTTAAATATTTATGTTCGAATTATGGTACTTATTTTAAACACAGAGTGGTATTGTATTATCTACAGTACACTAAAGTAATATCATACGTATAGTATATTTTAGATATTTTTATTTAACAATGCCGTCCCTTCAAATGCTGGATCCGTCCCTGGTATACTATACGTGCACTGCTCGTATGTGCATATCGTGCAGTTTACAAGTCTATGGTCTATGCAGTAGCGTAACTAAATAAGATGGGGGGCCCACTCGATAAAAGTGCACAGCGAACAGTGTACCTTAATAAAAAATATCCTTTTTAAAAATAAAGAAAAATTAAAAACATTCATATTCAGTCTATGATTACCACATAAGAAATCAATGTTTCCGATATTATAGCAGGTCCTCTTTCACTTGGGCCCAAACGTAACGCCACTGGATACGTAGTACGTACAGTGTATGCGACTATTGTATACGATTTATTTAGTCGTGCACATGACGTAAATCAGTTATTGAGGTTTCAACCAATCGGGAGGTTGTATGTTGCTACAGCGACATCACTATGGTGATGGTTAAGCTTCCGAGTGGATAAAACCATGAACAGCTGATTTTTGTCAAGTGCATGGTTAAATAAATCCTAGTGTAATTTTAGGCAGCTGTATCTAAAATCAGAGATAATATGTCTAAAATCTCAGACGTGATGAAGTTTGTTTGCATGACTTGATAAAGGAATAAGATTTATCTGATAAACATAAAATAAACAAAAGGAAAGCTTACAAATTTTCTGAAATTAACGAAATTAATAGAGGAATTGGAGACAATAGCAATTACCATGGATTATACATAATATTATCCGCGCACATTTTCTTCGGTTTTCTTGAGCCCTTGTTTTGCTAGATGCGAGAGTGGGAGGCCTGATTATTTTGTCGACAAGACTATTATATGAAATCTGTAACTCTTTTTTCATGACAATCATTTTTTCATTTAAATAGTTTCTCCCGTACCCGAGCGAATATTCCTAACATCAGATTTTGTTAACAACACTCGTTCCTATCATTTATTAGGTATCCTGAGGCTCAAGAAAACATGGGGGTATAATACCACGAGTGCTTTTGAAATTGTCGATTTATCTGAGAATGAAATGAAAATGAAATTATATCCAACAGTATGAAAATGCGCCAAATATTGAAAATAACTGAGAGTTATGTTGAAATCAAAGAAGCTAGGTTATAGTACACTCATGGTTTATTGGATATCGACATAGCGGTCGATGAATTCCGCCTCCTTCGATGAGTCACAGTTCATGATAGGCGATAAACTTTTTGAGATACATTGCCATATACTACGGTGTCTATTTCTTGACGCGTGAGGCCTTGTCTTCACAGTGGAATATCACACGGCATTTCGTGTCTCTCTCGGCCGTGCTGCTAGATGTCGCTTGATCGCGACTGTATCGAGCAGTGCTGATCCTGCGACATCTAGAAGTACGACCGAGAAAGAGCGAAATACTGTGAGATGTTCCACAGTGGAGACAAGGCTTCGCGCGGCAAGAAATAAAAACCCAGGGATAATCAGGACATTTTGTGTGTATACTTAAACACTTGTCGGAGCGAGCCTCTTAAATTTAATGTATCAGTATAGTCGTTATATATCTCGACATGTACGTCAAGTTAAGCAACAGCAATCCAGTTTTGTACAATTTATAATGCCAATTGTATTTCTAGTTTTAATCATTTATTCTAGCGAAGGATCTGGTCACATAGCCGTCTCTTGGTTTTACATCAGTCACGCCTCAGTGTCTCATGTCAGTTCTCTGAACTTCGCTACGCTTGCACTCCGACGTGTAGCTACGCGCAAAGAATTCGTGGAACAGTTGCGTAATGCGACCAGCCTAATAAACACTGACGGAAAAAAAAACTTGCAACACCCCGATTGCATTGTACAATTTATTCCTCCGTACAGATGAACACAAATAGGAAAAATACTACACATGATTACATGGACAGAGCCAAGTGAGACTCGCAAGTTCAGCATCAGAGAGAATCCTGAAGCGGAAAAGCCTCATCAATACTGCGTGAACCCGCCGGGACAATACAGCCTATATCGCAATACAAGTCCTGATGCCGGCTGGCATCCCATTGTAGAGGTGGCGAAGTGTCCTGCGGTATACTGTTCCACACCTGCTGCTCCGCCTCACGCAGAATTATTTGGGGAGACTCAGCCAGGACTCAGCAATGGTCCGGCGTTGGCCCATGTCCTACGCATGTTCGATCGGGATCAAATCCGATGAGCCGGCTAGGGCAGTTGACGAACAGCGAGGAGAGCGTGTTAAAGAGAAAATGTGCATTGTTAATCGCGGCTTTTACGAACTCCATTACAAAAATCTCTTCGCCCACAGTATTACTCATGCCATTTCCGGTGTTGCAGTAATTTTTCTTCTTCTTTCGGCAGTGGAGTTTTTTTTTAATGAAAACGAAGAAAACGGCAATTTTGTAAATTAATGGAATTGAAATGCAAATTATGGCAATTATATCGCATGGCCCTGCAAAAGCTCCCAATTTCAGAGGGCAGCTGATGAATGTCAAAGTTGGTAGCAAGATACCGACTTTCGGCTTCCGTGAATAACATAAAACACCCTTCTCAGTCTTTGCAACGAATACTCTCCAATGCATTCTATGCCAAAATACAAGGGCTCTACCCCTTTACCACAAGAACTATCTCCCAGTCAGAACGGAAGAGAATTGCTCTCTTTCATTAGAACATGACGAACGACACGGCACCTACGAGAGGAAATTACTATTAAGGTGCAGAGACGCTTCGTAACGCGTATCCAATTTTACAACGAGGAAACTTAGGCCTCCAGTGTTGTGATGAACATGAAACTTCCTGGAGTAGAGTACGTTCAAAACATTTTATTCAAAAGTATATTTTTACCGAATACTGTTTGACATTTGATGCAACATGCAATGCGACATTTGTATGCTTGTCGATCGGTGTTCGCAAGGCTCCGACCTCCCGCCAATGCAAATAATACAAAAACATCTACGGGCCTGTCCAACGCATAATTTACAATGCACTTAATGCTCGAATATTTTTTTAGAGGATTGAAACGCTCCATTCTCATTTCAACTTCTAAACAATGCCCTCGTTTTTTTGCTGTCTCCGTTCGTTCACCGATTTCGCGACGTATTGGTAATCGTCACATCTACACCGCGGTCGCGGCACAACAGCGGCACAACAAGGAATTCGACACGATAAGGATACATATGATCAGAATAAGTTCTCGAAAAAAGTAATTTTCTATTTCGTGAGTACTTATCTGGAGGAAATCATCGTCCAAAAACTTTACAAAGATATGTCAACTTTCTTGATGCTGTTCGTTCATTACGACAGAACGATTGTTTCCACATGAGAACCAAAGCTACATGATCTGTACCACTGTGTAAGAGACCTCTAACCGCGTCTTACACCGTGATCAGAACAGTGCGGTATTTTGAGTTTTGGAGAGGTTATGTAATTTGAACTTTACTCTACCAGCAAATACTATTAATGATGACTGTCAAGTACTATTGCAGATGTTGAAACACTTATTGTGCATTGTGTTCTGATGTAATAACTTTCAAAACAAGTGATATAAAGTTTAGTAAAAAATGGGGATAAACAGTATTTGACAGTTGTGAATTGAGTCATATGTGTTTCATGTTCTGATATGAAAGATAACCGTTCGATGTTTTCGAAAATGAATTTTTTGCAGCCTTCGTCAAGGCGTGTAGCTGTTTTACAGCGAATTTTTAGCAAGACATATCTTGTTACCCCCAATGAAATATCCAGGTCATTTGGTGTTTTTGGCACTAAGTATGCAGGCATGTATCATTTCTAATTTTATGATGGAACTTTCAAAGAGAACGCGAAATTATTTTTCCTTTTATTTCAGGAGAAAAACTTGTGAAAATTGGGGACATATCCAAAGTTGTTAAACCTGCCAAGAATCCACAGTATGTTCCGCTGAAGTATGGTAAGTTTTCATTTATTAATTTTATTCTATTTTTTTGACATGTTTACGTTTGGTTTTTTAATTTTTTAATTTGTTTAGTTGAAGGAGAATCCTCTCAAGAAATATTGAGACACCTGAGATGGATGCTACAGAAAGATCTCCTAGGACAAGACATGTTTCTTATTGGACGTCCTGGACCTCTAAGACGATTGCTAGCAATGCAGTATTTGGAAATAACAGATAGAGAATTAGAGTATGTTTCACTATCACGGGATACAACTGAAGCTGATCTAAAACAGCGAAGAGAAATAAAGAATGGCACTGCTGTGTATTTTGATCAGGTTTGTTCAGTAGTTCCTTTGAAGAATTGCTTTTCCTTCCGATAAAATTTTCCCCCTGTTTTCATAATTGCTGGGTACAGTTGTTAAAAGAGTTAATGTTATTTCTATTATTTCCTTTTGTCTGTAATAGTTTCAAAATCGAGGTCAGATTTTCATTAAAAGTGTTAGTATAAATTTTTTTACTATCACTAAAGTATATATAAACTGAAATTACTGAAATAATTCACAGATATTGTTTTCGATATAAGTGTACTTTCAGATTCCTGATGTTTGAATTAATGAGACTAATAAGTATTTTCTGTATGATAGCTTTTCTTGTGAAAACCATTCCCATGTTCGTCACTTACTTTACAGAGATTTTCAGGAAAGAATTGAAGATGGGAGTAGTAGAAATGATAGAAAGAAATTTTAAGAGACTATCTCAAATCTTTGTAAACTGCAACATTTTACACATGATCTCACAGTAATTTGAGTCTTTACAATTCCCTAAAAGGTTTTGTACCCATTTTGTTGGTTACCTTACTGCCATTTCAACTCAGCTTAACATTACATCACTTTTTCCATGTCATCAAAGATATTATTTGGGGACCCACAAAAATTCCTTCCTTAATTTTAACGTCATTTGCATTAGGAATTTTTTCATTCTATTATTCATTCAATCAATTTCTATCCAATTTTTCTTGTTCAATTATTTTTAATTGTTCTTTAAATTAATAATAATTTTTATTATTTGATAAAACTGTTATAAAATGTGCTACTAAGCTTTGAATGTTAATTTTTGTGTTGTGATGTTACTGAATTTTTTTGGCTGTAGAGTGCTGTCCGTGCTGCAGTAGAAGGACGAATTCTGATTTTGGAAGGCATTGAGAAAGCAGAAAGAAATGTATTACCTGTTTTGAATAATTTGCTTGAAAACCGTGAAATGCATTTAGAAGATGGCCGATTTTTGATGCCTGCAAAGAGATATGATCAGCTTCTTAAGGTTAGTTTATTATTTTTGCTTATGGTTGTTGCATACTTTACATTTCATTAAAAAAATATTGTATAATTCTTTTAGGAACACAGTCAAGAAGAATTGGATTGCTGGAAACTTGTGCGAGTGAGTGAGAATTTTCGAGTGATTGCCTTGGGCATTCCAGTTCCTCGATATGTAGGAAACCCCTTGGATCCACCCCTTCGATCTCGGTTCCAGGCGAGGGACATCAGTGGTCTCACATATAAGGTAAGTAGTTTTGCTCCATTATACATATTGAATGAGATTTTCAGTGTAGTGTGGAGTGTCATCTTTTTTAAACAAAAAGATGTATTTTCTACAGGTGTGCTTTTGTTAGGAAAGTGGGTGAGGAATATGAACATTATTTATCTGCACCATATTTTATCAGTGAAACTCTCGTGAATCAAAATACCTTGTTTTGAGATGAAATAAGTTCAAGTTTATAAATTCCTCTATAGAATATCTTTGCTAGATAGGAGATAAATCTTCTTACTTTGAACACTAATAAATTATGTAATATTGCTTTCAAGAGTAAAAAGAATTAGGCTGAAAGATGGATTTTTTTCTCTAAATTTTCGCTATTCAGTGTGTTAATTAAAAAGTAAATATTGATAATTTGTACATCGTATAGGTATGGAGCAATTTCACTAGTCAAAACAATGGAAAGAAATGGAACCTAGTGATGTAAATAACTCATAACCATAAAAAATGGGCTTTGCGGGCAGTGCCAGTGCAAGGCATGGGTAGACTGGACCCAACAAGTGAAGGAGACGGCCAATGGGGCTGATAGGAAAATAATTAGTTAAAAAAATTGTGAAAAAAATGAGTACTCAAAATAGTTATTGTAATTTTATAAGTTGCGGTACAATAGTTTGATATTTCATAAAATTTTCAATTGTTTTTTTTACCTTGAGTAGTTAATTACAGTTATTTCTTATAAGGTAATTATTGAATGAGTCAGAACTTTACAAAATGATTCAGATGGCACTAACTTTTCAATAGGTTCTACTGAAATTCATATTTATTATTTTTTCATGTATTTAACAAGTAATTTTATTAAACACTAACCACCCATATATTCATGGGGAGGGAAAGGAGGAAAATTTCCCCCTCTAAAATTTTTCAGTAACTATTGATTTTAACATGTCCTAAAACTTTGAAGCAAAATATTATCAGATAATCATTAAAACTAATAAAATTGTATCGTAGAATGAACTGAGTGTAGGTTGCGACATTTTACAAAATCTGTCATACGACACATACCTACCTCCCCTAACCCATTCCCCCTCCCAAAATGTGTCTCAAGATCCGCCCCTGCACTAACTAAACACAACTTTTTAACTTCACTGTGGAAATTGTATTATGTGATCACTAAATACTTTTACTTAAAACTATTATTTAAAATATATTGCCAAAAAACTTCTTCCAGCTTGTAATTTCTGTTGTAATTTTATTCTTTGTTGAAATAAAATAACTCCGATAGTTTCTAAATACAACTATTACATTTTTAATTTTTTCGGGAAGGGGGCTACATTTCAGTATTGCCTTTAGCCCAAAATTGTGTAGCTCTGGCACTACATGCAAGTTTTACGTGATACGTAAGATATGGTCATTCCTTTTTAAAATGGAATTTTCAAACATGAACAGCATTATTTTCACGTTCCTGCAAGTCATAAGCCAATTTGAATAGCTTAGAAGACATTTTAGGAAATCATCTCTAATGAAATATAATTTCATGATGTTTATGTAAGAAGTAACATCACAAAATGAATCACATCTTGATAAAAGTGATAGTTTAGATATAGTTTTATCTTAAATAAAACTACTTAGCACAGCCATTAAAGTTTCTTTTAAAAATATATTTTTCTTATGTCGGGCAATTTTAGCATGTGGAAGAAAATTAAAATTTAATCATTTATGTCCGAGTATATTACATTTATGTCTGTTAAACGAATAAATAGCTGATGTTTAGTTAATTTTTTCATTCTGTACATTTGATAGAATTGTAATTAATTGTTTAATAGACAATATTACAAACGTTAGTCAAATTTTGAAAAATATAAAGATTCTTATATGCGATTTGAAACTTTCTTAGAAAATTCAAAGCATTTTCAGATGGCCAACGGATTTGGAAAATCAAAATCTATGAAAAGAGTCATAAATATGCTTTACAGGTGTCACTTCATTAATGGACTAGTGGTGCTACAGAATGCCACAGACTTTCTTGTAGTTAGTTTTCTAATTTTATTGGGCTAGCTTTATGCTCTTGCCCATCCTCTTATTGGATGCTATTTATCGCCACCCAAAGTACTTTTTTTGAAAATTTTCTCAATTTTTTGGTCTTCTAATGGTAGAGCCAGATAATACTTAAACGAATATTGTAGAAGAGTAAAACCTTATCCTAAGCAGAAATTTTCAACCGTTTTTAAGAAAATTTAGTTTAACCATTACTGTAAATGTGGAATTCTACTTCATAAAAAAAGTTTGAGTTTCCCCGAAACTTCATTTGAAATCATTTGAAGCACCTTTTAAACAAATTTACATTTTTGTAAATTTTGAAAAACAAAAGAATAGAGCAGAATGGCGTTTATGTCATCTTATAGAGTACATTTAGTACTATCCCTACCAGAAGTTTAAGGAAAAAAATTGGAGTAGTTTTTGAGAAAATGTTGTTTTTGTTATGTTTTAATATTGCGCATAATGTCACGCAATATTGCGCGAAAACGACTAAAAATTTCAAAAAAAGTCTTAATGACCTTAATGAAAGAATTAATTATGGAGAACAAATTTCATTTGAAGAATAAATTTCTGACTTCAATTTTGTCGTTGTAGGAATACGCCGAAAAAATTACAAATTTTGGCAGTTTTCGAAAATTTAGAGTTAACAGCGAAAATCAGACCTCTTCCCCCTTTAAGTGTATTTCACTCTATTCTTAAAAGAAATTTAAAGAAAAAAATTGGAGCCAATTTTGAGAATTTTTTGGAAAATTTGATAGGAGATTCTTGTAAAGTACCTCCCAACTACTGGTGCTACTACAGAACATATTCTCTCGCGTTATTGACAACAACTAGGTAATATTGCATTTTGTGCGCTGCTAAAACTTCAGCTAAATGGGTAACGTCCAATTCAAACAAAGCGCCTGTGATGAATATCTGCGTTCATATCGATAGTCAGGAGCAGCATTAATTTCTTACTTTGACAAATGAAACATTTGACTGATCCAGTATCCGCAGCAAATTATACAGAAAGTTGGCATTGTTGCCATCGCGGCGTTGGCAAAACTATGTGCATTCGCTTGGCTAATAATATCAGTACAGTAATTATAATATATAATTACGAAAATCCTGCTCACTCATGAGTTCCCTTTCGTCGTAAGATAACAGTTCCGATAGCATTTCATCGTTTTTCTTTTATTCAATACACAGCAGTTTTTTTAGGAATCAGATTATAAATGATATATAACAAACCTCACCCGGCTTTCCGAGGAGTAATTTATAAAAAAACTACTGTGGAATTCATCGCAAATAGAAGTTCTGGCTCTCGGTGTAGTAGTTACACCACCACCAGCTGGACTTAATAGAACAGCTTTATCTTATCACCGCCAACATCTCGACATTCGACAACAATTAGCTTCTAAATTATTGATGCTGCATTGTTGCGATATTTCTAAGCGAAGCTTTGCAGATTGCTTAAAAAGAAATACATCAATACATCGGGAATGCGAATTGAGTAAAAAGTAAAAAAGCGAGAAAGAAAGAACAAAATTAATATTGGCATTTTCAATAGTAAATTATAATTAAAATTAAATGAAATATTTTTCATATTATTCATTCAATATTTCAATTTTTCATGAAACCTGCATGATTTCATTAATTTTAATCTGAAATTACGTAAAAACTACTCGTTTTTTCAAAAAATTGTACATGACCTTTTTTAAAGAGCTTATTTTCTACAATAAACTTTGTCTGAGGCAAAATCTCTTTTCTTCAATTGTGTAGTTTTAAAATGTTTTTTGCAGTTTTCGAAAAGATCGAGCAATACCCGAAAATGAGACTAACGCCATATTTCTTACAGTTCCTGCACTTTTCTCTTAAACGTCCTTTACACTATTCAACCACAAAATTTAATCAAAAAAATTAGAACAATTTTTTTGAAAATTTTAAAAATGTCCCAGGGGCTTCATGTAGGCTACAGTACCCGTCAAAATTCAAATATCGGTTTCAAATCCCAGGAGTTGTGACATCAGCTAGAACGATTGGGGAATATCAATTTTGAGAAAATCGAATGAACGGTTTATGCGCTAGCGTTGTGGACGGACAGAAAGTCGTTTTGCCGTCAATCGATTTTTCGGTATGAAGGCCGCACAGCACATGGATTCTGTCTACACCACATGCTAGAGGATTTCCCCCCCCCTACATTTAGAAAGTGGATTTATCCTCCTTTTCCTTACCAGGGCCCGGCAATAAGAGATTTTGGGTCGAAGATTCGCCGTTTACCGGCTCCGTTTACCGTTTAGTAAGTGCGAGAAAGTAAAAATTAATGAATGTTTTTCAAAATCGCAGAGCTTCAAGTGAAGCCTAATCGACCAGAGAGTTTGGTAAAAATTGTATTAACATAGTTTATGCACTAGTGGTGTTTACAGACGACGGACGGACGATATGAACAGAGGAAACAATAATAACACTTTTTCGGAATCAGGGAAACCCAAAACGTGCATTTTCGTTGGAACCCCCAAAAGTCGATTTTCCGCAGCATTACATAACTTTCTCTGTATATTACTCCGTGTTTACGTACGCCTATAGGAATATTATTCGACCATTCAAAAGCATTTGGCACCATTTATCATAAGTGGAGAATGGAATTTATTATAATAAAAATGTGTAAAATAAAAAATTCAAGAAAATTGTTTAAAATTGCCTCCTTTCAGGTTTTCCAATTGTTTCGAACACAAAATGTCGCCGCTCCAACCTTGAAATGGATTCGTATCAGCTGAATGAACTGTCTCTACAGAAGAAATTGGACTGGAGTGATCAAACTTGTTTCATACGAAATATTAAATACGTAGGTAGAATGCACAATGTTGTGTACGATAAATAGCACAGCACGTGAACAGCCCAGCCAATGACAGATCGCTCCACCGCAAAGTCCATCGTACTTTAAAATTGCTTCTGCAGTATTGTTGTCTGGTTCCGGAGTTCGAGACTCGACGCACGTGGTGCGTTTTCAC